ATGTTTCTTGGAATTTCAATTAGCCGAAATTATACCCTTAAAATAAGAAAAAATAGGAAACCTTCAAACTAATATCTACAAATTATCAAATCTCAAATACATTCCCTGCAAATCAAAGTAATCTTCAGTTAGACTTACTTGTCGGGATTTACTAGGATGTGATTCCATTATAATAAATATAATATAATGTTATATGATAATAAATATAACGTACTTACTATTTACGGTCAAATTGACCTAGTTGGAATCCTAACAATTTGAAAGGCCATACTATTGCTGATTGAAATTTATGTAATGGAAAAACACAGAATCGAAAGAAAACGCAACTATAAAGTTCACAGCGAAATTTAAAAAAATGATATGGTAAAATTGACTAGATCGTAATAATTACGAGTTAAACTATGTTTCTTGGAATTTCAATTCGCCGAAATTACAAATTCCTGCAAGTAATTGAGTTACTAACAAAAAGTGATGTAAATTCTAGCAACTTCATACAATACAGACGACAAATCTGTCGTAAAATGAGACCTTGTTATTTGGGTCTTATATAACTCATTTATTTTATTTTTCTATACATTATTTTCATTTCGCAGACTGTATTTTAAAGACTCTTCATATCAACACGCAAACAGCGCGAAACCAATTTATTTCAACCCCACGCACGATTTATATTAACACCACTATTATTATGTACCAATTTTATATGTTTTGCTTCTTTGTTTTTCTTCCTTTTTTTGTCCTGTAAATAAATTTATTGAAATAATCCTACGCATACCCACGCTCCACTTAATGGAAAATTATAGGAAAAAAAGTGCGGTATCAAGGATAATGAAGAGGGAAAAAAATAACGGCATGCCATCTAAACAGTTTTCAATAAATCAGCCTCCGTGGGAATCTTTTTTTTGTTCGCCGCAAACTTTTCCAGGTTGATTTATTATTGTGGTTGAAAATTAGGTGTATTTTTTTTAAATTAATTTAATGCTTACATATAAAATATTACATAAACTCTTGAATAAATATTTGGTCGAAATCCTTTTCTAATTTTTAATCTATAATAATGAAGCATGAATAAACAGTATTGGAATTAATTAACTATTGACAGGTGTTAATTGAGGCAATTAACTAGGATTCTCTAAATCAATATCCTATGAACAATTCACGAGCTACTTAGTACCTATAGTGTAATAAAGGTTTATTTAATATTGATTACAAAACACATAAGTGGATTAATTACATTGATTAAAAACGTTAGTTTCTTCAATAATTTGTAAACAGTAAAACCCAAAAAAATAAAGAAAAAAAGTAAAATTTACTAAAAGAAAATAGTTATTAAATGGAAATACTAAAGTATTGAAGATTCAATATCATACAATAATGTTTAAATTAATTATAAAATATGTAATAAATTTATAATAATATATGTTAGATAGGGTTACAAATGACTTATTCCGAATTTGTCAATAGGTCAAGCGGACTAGGAACAGAAAAGGTGAAGTAATATAAATGATTGCTGATGTATTCTGATCTTTAGAAATATTTTGTTTATATAAATCACAGGTTTTGAAGTTTGAAAAGTATCGTTGAATAGCAAACTAATTTATAAATATATTTTCGGTGTGGTTGAATGTAATACGGTTCATTGAATACTTCCGTGATTCTAATAGAAAACGTTTCGAACAAATACCAATGCTCCATTGTATACACACGATAGTGTTATACAATTTGGAAACAACAGTTGAAACTAAATATAATTTTAAATAATTTTTTAGAACGCTAGTTGTTATACTCATATTACGTCATTTTTATTAACAATTTATTTTATAAGAAAAACATCCAGTAAAAGAATTTCATTGGATATTGACCTTCGGTAATTTTCCATTAATTGTTAGTTAGTTGTTGAATCCAGCAGTTTAGCAACTGAAGCGATAAAAAAGATTGATTGACTTTATGTCCATTTTGTAACCATTTCTGGATCCAATCAACTACCTGTTCTATAATTACTAAATTGTTATCAATTCTTAATCAAAATCATTATATAACAAAATAAATTAATTTGTATTCATATTAAAAACAAGAACAAAGTAAACTACAGAAACAAGAAATAAATAGTTTTACAAATGTGTGTAGAAACTCAACAATTTTACAACAAATCAAGCCGTTAAACAGTTTTAATAAAGAAATACATATAAACCTAAACCGATCTATCAAAAGTACGACCCGAAAATCATAAAGAAGGCGATTAACAAGACATTGATCCAAATCTACAAGAAAATCAAGCAAGAAACGTCCAGAAGAAATTATACAACCATACAACAAAAAGCAAATAACCCGACAATTTAAGTATTTAAAAAAAATGTTTATTACTTTCAACTCCATTATGTTTTTCATTTCGCGTGCTTCAATTTGTTAGCATTGTTGCTAGATAATTTAAATTTATAATTTCAAAATGCCAAAAGATTTAAATCATTTCTCAATTCAACGAAATCTGATTTGTGACAAATTCCAGATATGCAGAGTATTTCTTATTAGATTCAGAATTAAATTCTACACATATATTAAAAAAAAATAGTATTTAAACGGATTTTTATCAATTATTAAATAATAGCTTTCTGATCATTAAATATATTTAAACTAATAAAATAAATCTAATTAATATTTAGTCTCATATAAAAATATACATTAAAACATTTGAAGTTTTAATTTTAAAAAAATATTGATTTAATGTAGTATATAATTCATATGAAAAAAGAAATCCGATGGAATAGCAAAATTTCACTGAAAGCTTTGGGACAGACATATATAAATTAGTTAAAATCTATCCTTTAGTTGAATTAAATGCGGATGGTCCATTATTCGTCCGAAAAGGGGAAATCCTATTAAATCTGATTATAGTCAAAAGTGTTTATTCAAGAGTCCGTCATTGCTTTTAGTGAGAGAAAGATACTTAAAAAGTGGATTAAATCCGGCATTCATTAAAATAGTTTTTTCTTCGTTTAACAAAATATCTTACCATTTATAGAAACATTTCAACCGAAATATAATATTTAGTTTTTCTTATTTCTCCCCCTTTCTTTAGATAATTTTATAATTTCGAATTCATAAAAGTATTTAATTATATTTAATTTAAGCAATTTCAAAAACTATAAGAATTGTTCCAAAATTTCCGGATTTTTACTTGTATAGTGAAAGAATTTTCTCCATATAAACTAACGTCATATACAATAATGCGTTCCATTTTGCGAGTCGTTTTTCTTACAATTTATTTTGTTCGTTAAGCGAGGTTCCACTGTTCTTTTAATGTGGGTGGAAATGCCTATAGTCAATAGCTCCTTGTAACAGTTAATCTTTACTTATTTATATGTGACTGTTATATTATTAATTTTGTTTGCTTTTTTTCGTCAATTTTTAAATAATTTTAGGATCATTTTCAGTAATTGATAAAAGTAAATTTCTTTGTGGAGAAAATGAAGTTTTCTTAAAAACTAGTTCAAATATTTTTTTCTTCATTTTACAAAAACTTTCTTTAACAATATTCTCGCATTCATAAAAGTTTTTACTTATATTTTATTACATATATTAATGGTATAAAGTTGACTAACTAAAATAAAAATGCTTTTGTTGCGAGTTTGCGTTTCTCCGTAATTGATATTTGCATAGAAAGATCAATAGCTTAATTTCTTTACATGTAGTTTTCTTGAAAAAAAAAGAAGAATTTGTTACGAAAGTTCATGCATAATTGAAGAGACGAGTGTCCCATTTATATGAACACAACTCTGCATGTAGTTGATGGTACGCGTGTGTTATGATTGATGAGAGATCTCAAGAGTTTTTGTTGCAGGTTGTTTAGTTACGTCAACAGCAGAAGCGATTTGCATTGCGCTCATCTATTTTAATCAGCATTACGTTAGCGAGATGTTAGATCTGCAGGATGTTATCAAAACGTCGCATTTATTAAAAATGCAGACTACTGGTAAAAGTGATGCAAGTGATTCGATTAGAGTGGAGGACATTTCATTTGCTTTTGCTCGGAACGTCGGCTCGCGTTCCGAAGCGTACAAGTAAATATATGTTTTCAGCTCAGTTTATTTTTCATTTAAACATTTTTGTCCATCTCCCGTCCCACCACTTCCGGGGAAAAATGTTGGGAGCTTCTCGAAATCGGATTTTCCGCCTATATTATGTGTATACAGTATGCACTATGTTGTTTCTATATGGATAACATCTCATCACTTCCAAATACTATTACGTATTGAATTTATTCCACTTTGTACACGCAATTTAAATATCTACTCCAAGCAAGATAAGGAATTTAAGTAAATATTGGAATTGATATTATTTGCTATTAAATTGCCCTTAAAATCCTTTCTTTTTAGCAATAGTTTTGATGACGAGACCCAGCATAAATACAGCCCTATCAAGAGGTCGCAAAAAACGTCCAAATCCTAATGGGACTATTAGTTTTGTTTAACGACGACAATAAGAATCATCAAGGATTTGTTACTGGTTCATATTGATTCTCTTTCTTCTTGTCCTTTTGATATAAATTACTGAAAAGTTGAGTGGTCCTCGTGAGATAACTCATTTCTTTTTTGCTGTTGTTCTCTTCGCATCAGCCGAAGGGGAATCCGAAAGTGAGCCGTATTTTAATACAATCAAAAAGAAAGCTTTCAGCTTCCGGACTTTCATTGAATTAAGTCTTCGGTTACGTGATACGCAATTTCATTGAAACATTTCTTTTATTTTTATTTTTTTTTGGTACGTGCGTATATGTATATCCGATTTAATTCGGTCTACGCATAATTTCCCATCCTAATACACACCTACGAGAAAATTGGATTATCAAAATTGTCACCCTCAATAACGAACCCTTTCAGCTATTCGGTTTAATGTTTGCCAGACGCTCGCAAACAAATTAAAATCACCCCGCCCAAACGCACGTTGTTGTTTCTTCTTTTATTTTTTGTCTTCTCCCTTTTTCTAAATGCCCTTTTATTTCGCAGGAATGAGCTCCTCGGAGGGTTTATTGTGTCTAAGAACTGCCGAAAACAAGACTGCGGCGATGTTGAATGTCACCGCTGTGAACAGGACGAGCACATCTTCGGAAAACTTTGATGCAAAGATCGTCGTGCCTCTCTATGTGGCAATATTCGTGCTATCCATGATCGGTAACTCCATGGTTCTGATCACACTCATCCAGAACAAGAGGATGAGAACGGTTACTAATGTATACTTAGTTAATTTGGTAAGTACTAAATCGAAATTTACTTATTAATTATTAATTTTGTTATCAAGATATCATTATTAATTTTGTTATCATTATATAATATTTATAAAAAGTTTCATGAAATTTATGGAAATAAATCCATAATTTGTTAGTAATCTTAATTGGAACTTACTTATAGGATATTTACTTTCCATGATCATTAAATTTTATAATTACTAGGAAAAATTCGACAAATAATTCTTAGATTTTGTACTAATTGAAATTAATTTAATTGCAACTTACTTATTTATTATGTTTTCATTATAATTTTACAAAATACTTTCATTTAATTCTACAAAATTTTTACAAATATCTCTTAGATTCTGTTAGAAAGTAAGATTTTAATTTTAACTTAGTTAATATATTAAACCTTAATTACTCGCGCGGTGTCTGTGAGAAGCCAGTAGGTACAAACGACCCATAACTTTTAAAACTAAAAAGGTGAGGCAACCCAAACCTAATAATAATAATAACTGACGATTTAGTCATTTCAAAGTAATGTGCTGAAGGATTAACAGCAAAAATCTAGTAAAAATTAAATCTAAACTTATGCGATATTTATTTTGTATTCATTTTACAAAATTATTTCATTCATATTCTGTCTAATAGTAAGAACTAAATCGATACTCACTTCTGAGATATTTATTTTGCATTCATTTCATTAAGTTGTATAAAATTTTATGAATAATTCTCAATTTCAGTTTGATAGTAAGAGTATAGTTGGTACTTACTTAAACTTTACTAACTCGAGTCGGTGTAAATAGTATACCAATATCCTAAGAAATGATACCAAATCTATATTGTCTTTCCTAAATCTATGACATTTAACATAAGCTATGCCCAAAGTGTTTATTAAACGCTGGTGTGATGTGGTGTATAAAATACACCGCGCCAGTAGTACATTGAAATTTCAGTAGTTAAAGGTTAAAAGATGTTTATTTTCTTCTCAGGATCTTTCTACAAAACACTTTCATTGAGTTCTACAACATTTTACAAATATCTCTTAGATTCTATTTGATACTAAGAATTTAAATTAGAACTTATTTCGTGGAGATTCATTTTGTATTCATGATCATTTTACAAAAAGAAAATCATTCAGTTTCAATATTAACGAATATTCATGATATTTTTACAAAACAGTTGCATAATATTTAATAAAGAATTCCCAAAATCTTTTTATTATTAACTAAGTACTTAATTGGAACTTGCTTATAAGATATTTAGCTTCAATTAAAATTTAATTTAATTAAAATTGACCGTTAATTCCCGTAATTAAATTAAATTTTTATTTTTTATTTATGATCATGATAATTACAACTTAACGAACAATTCACAGATTTTATTTGATAGTTAAAATTTAATTGGAACTTTTTTATTGGATAAAACAAGCAAATAACAAATACAATCTATACGTTGGCAAGAATTTATATAATTTCTACAATCATTACAATTTTATATTATAAATATTTCTTATTTTTATTGTATTATAAGATGATTATAAGATTGTAAATTGTTACTTCTAAGATATTTACTTTCTTATTAAAGTACAAAATAATTTCATTTGATTTTATAAAAATCTACCGAAAAGTGCCCGGATTCTGCACGAGTTTAATCTGCCACAGTGAGCAATAGTTATATAATATTTATAGCCCATTGAACCACACGTAATTCTTTGTAAAAACTACATGTAATATGCGCTACGTACAAAATGGAACGAACATAAATTGCAAACATTGTGCACGAATAATATAAACGCAAATACGTGCAGAACATTTTTTTTTCTGGGATCGCGGTAACCGATGAAAGAGAATATTTAATGTATGGATTTGCTTTATGCAAATCGCGGAAAGTTTCCAGACCATGGATGTGGACATATTTTGTGTCTCTTTACGGATAGTATGTTTTAGTCCGCGTGATTATACCGGTTAATTAAAATTTAACAAACCCCCATTCCCAAGTTTATTTCGAATGGGACAATTACCATGCAAATTTGCGTCTCCATTTCCATCAAAAGAAAGCTAGCTTTAATCACAGACGAAAAGGGTAAACTTTGTATACATTAACGAAGGTTAATTGTAATTATTACAGAATAGTTTCTTCATACTTTGTCCATATTTTCATAGAAATTTATTAGATTAAAAAAAAATTAATGCAAATTTGAATCCTAATATTACATTACTATTGCACCGTTATTAATTAATTTGAAGAAAGTTTCATTATTTTATTAACGAATTGAATTAATTAAGTCCTTAAATTAATTAATTAAATTAAAGTAATTTAATGTATTATATTAAATAGATAAATTTAATATTTAATATGTTCAATATTTAATTAGATAGAATATAATATTGAACATTTGTCTTTAGATCAATTATTTATTTGTTTTATTATGCTCTAATTAGCAATCAAAGATGAACAAAGGGATAAATCTTCAAGGACGTGTGAGCATAGCAAATACGTTCCATCCGTGCCCTAATTAAGGTCCGTTTGCGTTTATATAAACAAGCAAGGCATGTGTATTTCCCTCACGTATATAACATTTCCGAAGAGACACGTGAATTCACTGAAACGCATTATTTATTTATTATTAAAGCATCCCGCATATTTTCAAGTACGTATATATGTGTCTACCATCTAAATTTCAAAAGGAGAGATAAAACGTCGATATGATAAAAGCCAAAATGCATTATTTATTAGCTACATCTTTATACAATGTTATGTAACATTAATGTTTACTATTTATCAGAAGAAAATGGGAGTTATGTAATAATATTTAATATCTTTCTTCAATATAGAAATACCTCGCATAGTCCGGATTCGATCAATCCGTATTCACTATAGTCCGGCTTTGAAATTTCAAAAGATACTTAACTTTTATTTCAATTTATACAGTGAAGACTCTTTTGCTGCGATTTTAAATTCCTCGATTAGTCCGGTTTCAAACAGTCCGGGATATTGGCAGAAATCTCGCAAAGTTTACTTTAAATTTAACTTTCTTTTATTTAATAAATCAATACAGAATTACCTCGAATAGTCCGGCTTCGATCAGTCCGGATTAACTATAATCTGGATGGAAAATTTCGAAAGAAACTAAATTTTTAATTCCAGTGTCTTTTGTGATTTCAATACCTCGATAAGTTAATTTTAAAATTAATTTTATTTTATTTAGCAAATCAATACAGAAATATCTCGAATAGTCCGGATTCAATGTTGTCAGGTTTGATGATTTCAAAAGAAACTAAATTTTTAATTCCATTGATACAGTCAAGCGTCTTACTTTGCGATTTTAAATTTCTCGATTAGACCGGTTTCAAACAGTCCGGAATTCTCGCAAAGTTTATTTTAAAATTAACTGTCTTTTATTTAATAAATCAATACAGAAATACCTTGCATAGTCCGGTTTCGAAAAATCCGGATTCAATATAGTTAGAAAATTGAAAAATATACTAAATTTTTAATTCCATTGAAACATTCAAGTCTCTTAGTCTTCTTATTCATCGATTAGTCCGGTTTCAAACAGTACGGGATATTGGCGGAAATCTCGCAAAGTTTACTTTAAAATTAACTTTATTTTATTTAATAAATCAATACATAAATACCTCAAATAGTCCGGATTTGAACAATCCGGATTCGTTATTGTCAGATTTGAAGATTTCAAGAAACTAAATTTTTAATTCCATTTATATAGTCAAGCCTCTTACTTTGCGGTTTTAAATTTCTCGATTAGTACGGTTTTAAACAGTCCGGTATATCGGCGGAATTATTGCAAAGCTTATTTTAAAATTAACTTTATTTTATTTAATAAATCAATACATAAATACCTCGAATAGTCCGGATTCAATATTGTCAGGTTTGAAAATTTCAAAAGAAACTAAATTTTTAATTCCATTGAAACAGTCAAGAGTCATAATCTTCTTATTCGTCGATTAGTCCGGTTTCAAACAGTACGGGATATTGACGGAATTTTCGCAAAGTTTATTTTAAAATTAACTTTATTTTATTTAATAAATCAATACAGATATACCTCGAATAGTCCGGCTTCGAACAATCTAGATTCTTTCATATTTTAAAATTTTAAAACAAACTAAATTTGTAATTCCATTAATACAGTCAAGTCTCTTACTTTGTGGTTTTAAATTCCTCGATTAGTCCGGTTTCAAACAGCCCGGATGTATACCTCGCAAAGTGTGGATATTTTAATGTTTCTACAAATAGATTATAAAGGATAAACGGTATTTATTTGGAGATATTCCTTATGATAATTTTTTAATTCAGTTTAATTTTACAAAATATAAATTATTTATTTTAAAATGTATGCTTATCATAGTTTGATGTCGTTATTACTTGCATTAATTGCATCATGAATAATGGAACGTTGCTTCGACGTTAACGCTGAGATGGTAAATGATGGAGGCTGCTCAATTTCGGATTGATTTCCGCTATAAATTTTCAATAAACGCTCCGTCTTAGGAGACTTCCACCGAGTATAAAGAGGGCCCTCGTATGCATATTTATGTGTGTATATTATTGAATATTTCTATTATAAATTTACGACGTCGCCTTTGCCGATCATAAATTCGCATCACTGTACTTGCACATTCAATTACGAGGAATAAACAAACGCAACATTTTAATTCAAAAAATATTATTACATCATAAAAGCAACAATTTTTTAAAATGTATTCTTTCATATAGAGTAGCGTTTCTCAAACTTTTTGGTCGGCGACCTCCTTTGCATTAAAAAAAAATTGCGACCCCATAAAGATTGGGTATGTGTAGAAAAAACATCCAGTATTGATCTATCATCAATTTTTCTGCGAACTCCAAATATTTGGAGAATCACTGATATAGAATATTGCAAATATTTATAATAAATCTATTAATTTTGAAGAATATCCAATATAATTGCAATTATTTGCATGAGGGATTGGGATAAAAATCCGGGAAATAGGAAAATTTTCAAAATTCTAAGTGGTAAA